TAAACCCTAAATGTCCCTATTTATACAAATGGATTTGCATTCTAGACCACACAAGTATTTCGGTACAATCAAAACCCTCCAAAGATGTCGACAAAATCTTGACCGTCAAAAAAACTTGAATAAATAAACTACTGGAAATTTCAGTATATTTCAAATTTCTGGTACTATTTGGTAAATTTGAAATTTCCGGAATACCAAAATTTTTAAAGAACCATAAATTTTGCAAGGTCCTACCAGAAATTTGCTATGTACCAGAAATTTCAATGCACTAACCGAAAATTTCGTTCGAAGATTCTTCCCATCTCACCAAAGATATTTCTAAAATTTGAAAATTAAGGAATGTCAAATTAAATTTAAAGGTTAAAACCTCGAATAATTGATATGTAAAAAAGATAATGGATATTTTTATGATTTTTGAAAAATTGTAAAGGAGAGGGATAATAGTATGGGCGTGGGATGAAAAAAATTATTAAATGTAAAATTAAGTGAATTTTTTTAGCAATAACTATGTTTTGAAAAAAAATACACAAATAATCATGTTTCAAAGAAAATTACACAAATAATCATGTTTCAGAAAACGTTATAATGCAGTAGCCATCTCATATGGCGCATGCATTACTTTTTTTAAAGGAGGCGCCAAGTGAGATGGCACCTAGGTGCATGTCATTTGTCTTAAGCCATCTCAGATGGCGCCTACGTACAAAGTACTTTTTTGTTAAGGAATTAAAAGGCAATGTCGTTGCAAATGAAATTTGATTTTCAATAATAATTAAACGATTACATAATGAGAATAAAAATTACACATTATTTAGTTGTCTCTAAGGACTTGATAATGATCCGTATTTCCGCACCCGTGTCCTCTCCTAACTCGTGGTGTGTTTCGACTTATTTCCTGTTGTGGTTGGGTCAAGAGCCCTGCGAAGTCAATGCGTTCAGGATCCATGAAAACCGTCAGATCATCATATCTGGAAGATCAACAGTCGGTTACCCATGCCCTCAAAGTTTGATCGTATTGGTTGGGGATGAGGTTCCATAGGGGGTCGATAGCACTGGTCGTATGAATAGGGGGTAAAAAGGAAATGAATCTTGTGGGATTTAGTACTGTGATTGTTGGGGGCTATGGTGATAGGATGGTTGATGGTAAGTAGGGTTGGTTGGTGAATATTCTTCAGGTTGGCCAATGTTTAGGCTAAGGTGAGACGATGAGAGGCCCAAATCAGGATGTCGGATGTATGGTCGTTTTTCCTTGTGTTATGATTGTGTGTGGGGCATGTGTATGTATTGGTATTGGTCTTGGGTTTGGGGTTGGGTGTTTGTAGATCTGTATCATCGTTATGTTTGGTGGGAGGTTGATGTGTGTTGGGGTTGTTGTTGTGTGGTGTATGATTGTGCCTATTGTGTGTGTGTGTGAGTCGATCAAATACCTTGGGTGAGACACGTGCATTTCAGGGTTAGTAATTGATATGTACCAATCAATATATTAACATGTGTGTTGCATATTAACCTAATTGTGGAAAACAGGAAATTGTAAGACATATTGATGATGCCTACACCACATCTTACACCATTCCAGAGCAAAATCTTTCCAATTATTAATATCTCATTAGGCGTTGACCCTTTTAAGATGCCAAGGTGACAAACAAGTTGGATCACATGGTATTTCTTGATGCATTTCGAACTGCATCTTGACACGCTCGTTATGGTGTATTTCCACACATGACATACTTCAACATGGGCAAAGATGAATCGCCATCAGGTGTTTTTTTCAACCTGTATATGCAAACAGATGAAAATTTAAAAGAGAAAGACAAATTTCATTCAAGAGAAGATTGTATGCGAGTTATAAAAAAGTTTCACATGTTAAACTCTGTCGATTTTAAGGTAGATTGGGTAAATCCATAAAGGTACAAGCTCAAGTGTGTTCACCTAGATTGTATGTTCAGGATCACTGCATCATATAGGTTGAGAATTGATTATTGGGTGATAGGTTATATGTTCACCGTATGTGCATTAATTCTACTCAATCACAAGATCATCGTAAACTAAACTATGATCTAATATGTCAAGAAATCCTACCTGTCGACAGCAATGATCTGCCATTGAAGGTGAAAACCATAATCTCTCACATCACTACAGTATACAATCATACTTCGTCATACATAAAGGCGTAGTTAGCAAAGACCAAAGCGATTGAAAAGGTATATAGAAACTGGAGGAGTCATACAAAGAACTACCGTGCTACCTCCATGCACTTCAGGTGTATGCTCTTGAAACATTTTATATTATGGAAACATTGACGGCGTATGCCCTAGATGATACTTCTGTCAACGGAAATGGAATATTTAGTCGAATGTTCTGGGATTTTCAACCTTGCATCACAGGGTTTACGTCCTGCAAACCTATTATTCAGATAGATGGAATGTGGTTGTACGGGAAATACAAAGGCATACTACTAATGGTAGTTGCACAAGATGGAAACAACAACATTTTCTCAATTGTCATTGCTCTAGTCGAGGGAGAGACTAGTGGTGCTTGAAGTTTCTTTCTCAAGAATCTTCGAATACATGTGGCTCCACAACCTGACCTTTGTTTGATTTCTGACAGACATGCATCTATTAAGAGTGCATACAATAATCCTGCAAATGGTTGGCATGACCCTCCTTCTACCTATGTCTACTGCATTAGACATGTCATACAAAATTTCACGAGAGAGATCAAAGATAAGGCTCTTAGGAAAACAGTTATGAAAGCGGAGTATGCATTAACACAACCTTCATTCAAATATTATCGCAGCGAGATCTGATTGTCAAATTCAGATGTAAGTAGATGGATTGATAATATTCTAGTGGAGAAATGGACAAGGTCATACGACAATGGACAATGATGGAACTACATGACAAAAAATCGTATTGAATCAATGAACGGTGTATTCAAAGACATATGAAACCTTCCAATAACCGCTTTGGTGAAATCAACATATTTTAAGATGACTTCGTTGTTTGCAAAAAAGAGGTGAAATGTGAAACGCAGTCTTACAATCGAAACAACTATGGAGTAAAAATTGCATGAAATATATTAAGGAAAGATGTGCCAAAGCCAACACTCATCTTGTTATAAGATTCAACCGACATAGTCACAATTTCATTGTCAAAAAGACAATCGACCACAACGAGGGGCTGCCAAGACAAGAGTATAGGATTATACTACCATCTTATTTGTGCGATTGTGAAAAGTTCCAGGCCTTTCGTATACCTTGCTCTCATGTCATTACGGTATATACGTATACTCATCAAGATACATTACTACTTTTATCTCCCATTTACAAGTCTGAGACCTCGCTCAGCGTATACAACAATGACTTTTCATTGGTAGCAAAACCTGATTATTGACCTGTATACGAAGGGGAAATAATATGACACAACGATCAAATACAAAGAAATAAAAAGGATCGCCCCAAAAATAAACATATCACAATTGAAATGGACTCCCCTGACAAATAAAAACATGTAAATATAACATCATCATCATCATTACGCAAACAAACCATACGCAAACAACAAATAAAAACATATCACCACCATTACGTTAAAATACAACATCTAAATATAACATCAACAACAGGATAAAACATCTAAGAAATTACAACCGTCAAAACAATTTCATTTGAGTCATGCATCATCATCATTACGTCTCTGTCTGTTTTGACTTCCTCCAACCAAGATTGAGGTCTTCCAGTTGCAAGTGAGGTGGATGTTCTTCTTCTCTGGATCCTTCTAATTTGCTCCCCAGCTTCGATGTCTCCCTCTAGCCATTGCATCAACTCTCTCTTCACACGCTTCATGGAGTGAATGTGCCAAAATTTTATTTTCATTGGAGGTTTGGTGATCGAGAAAATAACGTATCAATCTCTGGTGAAAATCATGGGAGATGTCATGATGCTAAAAACAAAGAGAAAATGAGAAGAGAATGTGAGAAAGTGTGAAGAATAATGGAGAAATATGTTTTATTTATATAAAACACAATTGCATGTAGTAGTCATCTCATATGGCACCTCCTCTCCATATTATAGTGCATGTGTCATCTCACATGGTTAAAAAAAATGCATGCGTCAAGTGATAACGTCTAAGATAAAAAGGTGAATGCATGCGCCAAATGAAATGGCGCATCCATTAATGTATATTCTAAAACATAATTATCCGTATAATTTTCTCTAAAACACAATTATTTATGTTTTTTTAATTCATGATTATTACTAAAAAAATCATACAGTGACAATTTGGCCGAGCGGTCTATGACATCATATTTAAACTCTGATCCGAATAATTGGCAATCTTATTTTTCTATTTTTGTCACAAAAAAAGTATGCAGATTTTTTTCGTATTACAATTGAAAAGACAGGACATACTAAAAATTTATTTAAAAATTTTAAATAACATGAAAAATGTTTGAGCTTGTTTGAAAAGAATAAAATAATGTAAAGAATTTTATGATGACAAAAGAATAGAAGGGTTGATAGAAGAAAATCATAAAGAGAATGTGGACAGAAAACCTCATTAACAACGCCTTTATACCTCGAAAAACTCAATTCCAAAGTTGAAACATTAATAACCCAACAACCACTGCATTCCTCATTTATTAACCTCTGAACCAACCACTTCACTGCAACCTTAACCATCTTGTATAATCCAATGCAAAAAAAAAACACCATTTTCCTCTTCACTTCATCCATCAAAAATCCACAAACATGTACTACAAGAATGTTACTACTCATTCATAATCATTCATGCAATAATTAACCATTATGTTTAACTCATAATACTCAATACAACACCAAATATTCAAACTAAATGCAACAGACAAAGAAAAAGTAACAACAATCAAATATTACAAAGTTTACGTGTAATTAAAGCATAATAACTCCTTCAAGTATACCTTGAGAACAACAACATTGAAGCATGAAAATTAAACCATGATTCTGACACTTGATAGAATAAAACAGTTCATAGAGTAGCATTTGAATCGGCATTGATATCTGGGTTGGTGTTAAAATCCTTGCTTGGTCTATACTCCATGGCAGAGGAGGCTAAATCTTTCTTCCACTGCCAGTCGTTGAAGAGAGACTGGGGGGATGATTGATAGTCCTGTTTCAAGCTACCTAACTGGCCGTTAAAGACGATTTCCTTGGACCTTGCAGCGTCGAGGCTAAACATCAGCTCAGGCTCTCGTGTTGTTCGCTGTTGTTGGAAGTAGTTGCTGTTGTTAACCATGGAAGAATTGCTCCTTGATTCTGAAACTGTGTTCGATGGAATCTGAGACATGTTGTTATACCACATGCCATCTGATGTAAAGTCGTAGCCTTGATACTTGACAGTTCCGAGATCTTTCTGTAAGAGGCTGTGCTCCTCTGCTTCCGAGTTCAGTCCAAACCTAGTAAAAGTTATGACGCTGCAGTTATGTGCAAGACTACAGGCCTTGTTAGAACACATTAAACACTTACGTAGTTCTAAGAAGTGTTCAATGTGTTCCGTCTAAAAATCGAGAATAAACAAACATAAAAAACCAAACACAGATAATAGTAGAAGAATGAAGAGGAGGAAGAAAGATGCATCAAAGAGTAATGAAATATATCAAGACAACTTCATTCATGGCCAAGAATTTCAAATCATATAGCTAGCTAGCTAGCTAGCTATAAAGAAATAGCACATTTCCAAATTCCTTTTAACAACTTATCCATGTGAACCACCCTTTCTGAATAATCATAGCAATCACTAGCCATATATGGTTAGTTCCAGCAAAACTCCGAATTTAGGACCCTTTTTCCTTAGAACCGGAGGATTAAGAGCACAAAAAAAAATGTAGATCAATTGACCAACATGAAATTACTGTGCAGCACCTAATTAAGTTCAATCCACAAAATCTCTTGCCACACCTGTTCTACTTTCTATATTGCATAGTTTATTAGTACTTCATTATGTCAAATACACACAAACAAAAGCTGAATGAAGTACACTGTGCAAGCCTAACTCCAAAACTATGACCAGATAGATGTCTTGCACCTTACTCTCAAATCTCACCACACACATCATAAGGATCCACATCACATGTTTATGTTAACTTAGCATCACAACAACATCAACCACGAAAACACAATCTGTTGTGTAACCAAAAAGGTAGAACAATAAAATAACAACAGTCCAACAGAAATCATGGCAATCATTTCCCCAAAACCCCACAAGTCAAAACACCCCAAAAGATAAATGCAACAGCATTGAACACAAACAACTAAAAACAATCAAAATAGTGAAAAATACCCTATTCACACACAACCATACAAGTCAAAAATAGCAAAACAAAAAACAAAAAACAAAATAGGAAAATGTTTCCTTAATTAAAACATACCTATAAGGTTTCTTAGAGCCCTGAAGAGGAAGAAGCATGGGGTCCATGTGGGGCATGGTGTTCCCAAGAGTGAAACCTAAACTTTCACGAGTACCATTTGTATGCAAAGGAAGTGTATGGAAAGTTGAAGTATCAGAGGCAGAAACAGTAGCAGCAACTCCAATAGAAGGAGCAAGTTGCTGTGAAGTAGAAGAAAGTGAAGATGAAGATTGAGATTGAGAAGAAGAAGATTCCACAGGCTTTCTTGAACGGTAACGACGTCGTATCATATGACGGTCACAGTACTTAGAATCAGGATGAGCATCCCTAGAACATCTCCATTTTTTTCCATCGGTTCTTCTACACCTACCTGGTTCTGGGTCAATTTTCTTCCCATAATAACCCACTGAAACAAAATCAAAAAAGGAACAAACTTTATGGTTCTAGAATGAAATAGAAACAAAAAGACAAAGATTAACGTTGTTGGGTTGGTTTTGTTTTGTCTTACGAGATGGGTGAGACATCAATTGAAGACTTTTCCGAATAGGTAAAAGGAGGTCGGGAGGAACCGACAAACCAGCTTTGAGATACTTGAAGATGAGAGCTTGGTGTTCTAGCTCTTGCCACTGTGATACTGTGAACGGTGGATGAGACGGTGGCCACATCTGCGGCGGCGGTGGTGGAATGCTCATGTTTTTCGGGTTGAGTATTTTGTTTTTTTTAAGGTGATGATGTTGTGAGAGAGATGAAGATATGAATCTAGAAAAGGAAAAATTGCAATAGAGTTAGAGAGAGAGAGGGTTTATAGAGAGAGAAGAGACGGTGGTTGTGGTTGTGGTGGTGGTGGTGGAGGAGAGGGTGGGGAGCTTACCTTGGAGAAAACCAGTTGAGCCATCATAGGTAAATGGTAAAGGAAGTGGTGGTGAATTAAGGAGGCTAGTGTTAATTATATTATTATATTATTTATAATATTGTTTTATCTTATTTTTATTTCATTAAAAGAAAAAATTTGATCTTTCTACTTCAGTTTTTCTAGTACTACATCTTTGTAGCTAAAGTTGGATGAGGAGTAAGCTAGAATCATGAGATTTTTTGAGTCGGCTCAATTATTATGATAGAAAAGAGGCACCTCTCTAATAACGCCTTACTAAAATTTAATCCACTAGTAATTTTAGGTATTTCATCTAGTTCTTTTTTTTTCAAGACCAATAACATAGTTTAATTCTTTAATTGAAAAATTATTTAATCGAAGATAGAGGTATTGAGTGGTTAATTAAATTTTTAAACGAAATTATGAGATTAAAATAAATGTCAGTTGAATGGAGAAGAAGTATTTTAGTTTCAATATATATGAACAATAAAGATAATATAAAATTGTGTAAATTATAGTGTCTTAAACTTATTAGTCATACTATGAAGTTATAAGAAATAGTGATTGAACTGAGACTAAGAAAAAGGATTCAAGGTACTGAGAATCAATTTGATTTTAAGCTTGAGAGGTCGATCGTAGAAGCGATTTATCTACTACAATGTGTGATAGAGCGGAATCAGATGAACAAACAAGACTTGCATTTAATTTTCATTGACTTGGAGAATGTGTATGATAGAATGTCTAGAGGGATTTTGTGGAGAGGCCTAGAGAAAAAAGGGGTTAGGATTGTCTATAGTTGAGTTATCCAAGATATGTGTGAAGGAGCGTCGACTAGTGTGTAGACTCGCGGTGGAGAGACAGGCGATATTCTTATTACAATAGAATTGCACCAAAGTTCAATCCTTAGCCCCTACCTTTTTACTTTAAATTTGGATGTACTCAAATAACACATCTAAGAGCTAGCACCGAGATGTATATTTTTTTGAAGATGATATAGTCCTACTTAGAGTGTCGAATGATGATTGAAATGAGAACTTAGAGCCTAAGAAACACATGATTTACTACTACAAAAAACACATTTATCTTGATTGTGAAAGAGATTTTACCTCGGTTTCACATGTGAGGTAACGGATGGCGTCTTTGAAAACTTGTCAATTTACCCCTCAATTTTTGTTCCATAGAGGGGACAGTTGTAAAGGTCATTGGTTCCATCCCCATCAACAACGTTTTTTTTTTCAAAACTATAAAATGTGCGCTACATATCTCTCGGTTTTTGTAAATATTTGAGGGAAAAGGAATGTATTTACGTTGATTATATATATTAACTGAGGGGTATAACCTATTTATTTGTCATTTATAATTTGTTTTAAATCTCAATTTGACTGGCCTGTATTTTTTTTACACAGAAATTTCAAATTTTGTGACAAATCAAAACATTTTATTTTACACAAAACATAACTAAATATACATAGAATACCAAATTACATTGTTTACATAACCAAATGTACACATATCCAAAATAGTTCACCAAAAGAATCTATACATATTTAAAAATAGAACCATATAATGCTTACTAAACTTATAATGATATTTGGGATACAAAAACCCTCTAGCAAGATAACTTGTACATATTTGAACTTATACATATTTGAACCTAACAATGTTTACAATAATGAAAAAACCTCTACACAATGTTTACAATAATCGAGAAAAACTTGTGTTGTCGAGATTCCTAAAAAGATAGAAAGACACCGGTGAAGGTAGAGAAAAACACAAGAAAGGGGGTTTGAATTGGATTTTCCAAAATATTTCCCTTTTAAAAACTATTTGAGAATAACTATGAAAGAATATAGAATGCTAGAAATGTAAAGAGACACATTTGGTTTATCCAAGTTCACCATTAACTATGCTACATCTTATCCACCCTCCTCAGGTGATTTTACATTCAACAAGGACTTAATCCACTATAACCAAATCTAATTACAATCCACAATAAGTATGATCAACCTTGTTGACATGCACAATAAGTTCAGTTGATCCTTATTGTCATTTCTGCAAAGACCGCAGTCTATGCCTTCTTGAGAATCCTGGCCCAATAGAGTCTCTCAAGGAACAATACAATGATACATTCAGTGATCTCTATGAGATGTAACAAGCAAGGACCCACCTAGAATCCGACCAAGATGGCCTACTAGAAAGGATTTCATCCATGATGACTGCAGGAACTCGTCTTCTCAGGTCTTTCGATCTTCACTCGATCACTTGAGGAACCACCAATTCTAACATAATTATTTTTCTGGAGATTAGATGAGCGCTTCTTATCAAGCAGATTACTCCTAGTTTAAGTACATATTGTTTGATACAATTCTGAGCAACAACTCTTGTGCACAAATAATTTACATGAAAATTCTTAAGAAATAACACAATCTGAGTAACAAATATTATGTTTTAAATTATTTCTACAAAGATGAATATAATTTAAATTGAGTGTAGCATCTTGTAGTCTTCTTGTCTTCATCTTCTTTATTGAGCAAGCTATGAGCAACAACTCCTTGCTTATTCATTATTCTTCCAAGATGTATAAGATTGATAGTTTGAATAATATCTTGTAGAATTCTTCTACTTCATCTTCTTTCTTCATATTTGGTTAGTGTTGTACCCCAAAATTTGTCCTCTCATTTTATCAAGATTCTCCTCACAAGACTTCTTGGACTCAAGACCAAATTAGGGTTTGCTCAGCTCAAGACATCTTCTTGCACTGATGACCTGAAATTAGGGTTTGAGTTTGCACAAGGATTTTTGGACTTCCAATGCCTCATGTGACTTTCATACTTCATGTTGGACCTCTAAGATTGCTTATACCAAGTTTCAAGCCTTGAATCAAATTTTTGCCAAGTCAATTGGACAATTGACCTAAAAATCAACTATATTGGGGAAGAAGTCAACTATGGCCAATTTACAGTCAAACCTCATAATTTTTGATCCACATCAACATTATAGACTCATATGAACCATTTTATCAAGTTTGGACCACAACTCCTCAAGAAATTTGATCAGATCATCAAAAGGGCAAAATGGTCAAAATTAGGGTTTTGACTGTAGAAGGGCAATTTCTGATTTTTCACCTAGCCAATGGCAAATTGGGTTCAAGCATGATTTCAAGGACTCAATGGCATAATATTGACCTAATCACAAAGTTCAAAAGATCTCAAATGCATTAGATTGACAGGTGAATTTTCCAGTCAACTGATCAAAAATCAACTGTACACTAAAAAGTCAAACTTTGACTTTTTGGTCAAAATCAAGTGCCAAGGGTCATTTTTCATCAAGATGTGTAAAAACATGAAACTTGTTCACCAAGAAACCTAATTTTGAAGATTAGGGTTTAAGTTTGAAAATTTTCATAACTTAGAATTTTTCTAAGTTATGAAAATTTCTTATTTTTTCCCAACTTTTCCCAACTTTTTCTCCATGATGCAATTGGATACAAAGAAAACTTCCAACATGAAAGTTTTAATCCTCCACAAAATCTACAACTTTTATTCACAAAGTTTTCCCAAAATATACTTGGATCTCAAGTTATGATTTTGTGAATAAGGGTCCATAAACTTTTTAACTTAGTGAAATTTTGCCCTAGTTTAGGCAGATTTTTGACCTAACTTCATGGCAACTTTTCACCTAGTTCCAAGAGGAATCTCAAAATTAATTTCAAATATGGATTGTATATCATGTTACAGGCTTTCCAAAATGTCCAAGAAATCTCCAAGATCATTTATGGTTAGGGAGAATCGAAGAAAAGAAAATGGCAATTTCTCACTTTTGTCCATGGCATTTTTCACATTGATACAAGTTGCAAATCTGTCCTAAGCATGCTTGTACTTGTTTTACAGGTCTTAATCCTTTCCACACTCCTTAACTTAATGCAAATACATTGGACAATGGCTTTTTTCTGAGCTTTGGAGCATTGTACATTGATTTATTCCAAAAATGGCATAAAGGTTACAATGCTACTTTGATAAAGCATACTTTTAGCAATTTTGTTTATCTTGAGCATTGAACCTGATATTTGGTTGTAAACAAGATCCATGAACATAAGGAAAAGTGTACCAACCCTCTACATCCCACGAGCTAGCAAGTACAACCTTTTCCTTTGTCACTTCAACTTTTGCTTCAAAAGCAAGTAAGCTTGCAAAAGTCCACACAACTTGAATATCTGATAAGAGAAAGCCTTGGACTCATTTAAAACATGTTCAGCATATTGTCTCAAGCCATAAACACGATTTGCTAAGCTCTCGAACACCCAAAAACACAAAAACACCAAGTTCTTGCCCAAACAGGGCAATCTCTGCAAATCACAAGCCATTTCCATATTGCCTCGTGCGTTTTGCTTGGAACCACTTCAAACACATTCCCTACATCACACATAAGTTGTCCAGGCCCTTACCTTGCAATTGTAACCTCTTTTTCAAGGATCACCATTTTCATTTTGAAGCTTTGCAGGTTAACTTCTACAGGAAGATTCAAGCAACTTCAAGGCCAGCTAAGCATTGGGAAAGGTTAAGGGAACTTCAAGCAAGCTCACAAGTACTTCAGGCCTCACTCAAAGTTTCTACATTGCCATATTCAAACTCAACTGAGCAAGGTATTTGTCAACTTTCTATCTCTCTATTTAGGCATCTTCAAGCTTAGGTTTGTGAAGCAAAAATGTAGTCCTTAATGTGCTTGAGTTGTACATATGCATAGCTTGTATTTATATTAACTGAGCTAGGAGTATTTGAAGCTTGAAGTTCATGGAAATCTTAGGTCAGAAATTAGGGGCAT